AGGCCAGCAGGAGGGATTATTTACAGATTATAGTACAGATTTTGACTCTTTCCCACGTCCTCTATGGACTGGTGGCTCTGAGGTCCAAACAAACCACAGGCTCAGGACAATTTCTGCCTCGTTATTTAACATTTAAAGAATTGACATGTTTATAAAACATCCACAGGTCTGATTTTCATCTACAAAATACATCTTAGAACCAACAGCTTCTCTGTTATGTTGAAATTCAACAGCTCAGATTTTTAGAAAACAACCGAATACAAATCATCCTGTTAACCAAAACGTATTGTTTGACGTCTCACGTTCATTTTCTGGTGACAGAACTCTGCAATGAAATGCTTTTTATCAGCCAGCTCTCTAATTTTGGATGTCAAAGTGTTCTAAAATGTGTTTGCGTGGGCTGGCTTTCCATAACTGCATTACCACATGACATGAGCACAAAGTTAAATAAAATAATAAAGGAATGATCCGCTTTATTTGTAGGAAATTGATCTTAGAAAACCAGACCGATGGCCGCCTAAAAGGAAAAACATCAACCTCAAAGCTTATTTGGATAACGATCAACAGGAATGCAACGTTTATGTTTTTTGGACAAAAGCCTCCAGTTCTTGATGTTTATAAGCTGATAAAAAAAAGTATTATTACATCTGATTTCAGTTAGATAATCAGAAGAAGTATTCAGATCCAAAATTCTTCTTAAGAAAAGTACGGAGGTTTTATCAGCGTCACACTTTGGAAGTATCAGCAGTTAAAGTAAAGACGTATTCTAAATGTATGTAGTAAAAGTATCTAAATGTCATTGAGTGGAAGCTTAAAGTATAGCAGAAATACTCATACTGTAGTACAGTACTTGAATGAATGTACTTTCCTCCACTTTAAATCATACAGTGTCGGGGTTGCATTCCAGTCCTTTGAACCTGCTTCAGTAATCCTGAGTTTTGGTCCAAAATGAGTTAAACATGAGACGCTTCGACTCTATAAATCCAGCCCTCAGATTCACCTCCAGGCGATTATTTACACATATGAAACAGACTTTGACATATCTCATTATGGCCTCAAATCCCTGCTGTGTGTGTGTGTGTTAGTGTGCGTGGGGGTGATATGATATATATTAGCTGCACATATTTCCTGCTATCAATGGATCTTTTCATCCTTGCTGTCTGTTTTCATTCCCTTCATGCCTCCTTTTATTTGTTCAGAGATGACATCCTGAGCGCTGTATATCTTCTTCACCCTCCAAACTAAATGACAAAATATGTTGTTTATCATTTCTTTTTTCAAAATGACCAAGGGTGGAATGTACATTTATTTAAGTACTTCATTCAAGCACAGATTTGAGGTACTTGTTCTTGAGTCTTTTCTTTTCGTGCTACCTTCTTTCTTTACTTCACCACAATATTTTACTTTTTACTGCGCTAGCAGGTAAATTATCAAGCGGTCACTACTGAATTTAACTCAGTTCAACTAAAGCTTTGCTCAAGATTACCGAGACACTGATTGGTCTTTATGTTTCAGTCTGGCTGAGGAGACTTTGACCATCACAGCCTTCTGGACACTGTCAACTGAAAAGACTGCAGAATAACACCCGCAAACACAGGCAGATACATGCAGATACTGCATCCACACAGCTATGCAAAGTATGCACACGTGTGACACGCTCATTATGTCTTCAGTTATCAGTTTTGACAACAGGAAGTTATTTTGTCCTTCCCGGTCTGGGACTCGGCGTCGGCGTCTGTCCACAGTTCAGGTTCAGCTTCAGTTCAACTTAAACTTTAGAAGATCAAATTCCTTCTCCTTCATGAAATCACTCATAGAAACTTCTGTTTAAACTATTCCATTGTACTAGAGCAGAATAAAGACACTACCGAGTGAAATGTAACTCCTTAAATGAAGGAACAGATGTTTTTTTTCACTGTTTCTTAAGGAAATTTAAGAAGATTCCTGTGCCAAACTATTGATAACTTTTCACAGAGAATAGAAAGCATCCTTTCTACCTCTATCTTGGTAACAGTTTTCAAACCTCAATGTTTTTACTGTTGATCTTTACTTCACTCATATCAGTTTAGTTCCCTTCGCTTCATGGCATTACGTCTGAAGTCACGTCACTTAAAGTCAAAATTCTGTATTGACGTATAAACAGTGTATTTTAAGTTTTAATTTTGCGGCACAACAAATAGTAACATTAGTAGTATTGGTTGTAGTAGTGCTTAGAGTAAGTAGAAACTTTTGTGTCACATCACATTTGGGAAATTTACATCAAGCGTTATCAGCCATGTAACGCTGGCAGAGCCTCTCCGAGCGGGTGCCATGTAAAATAAAAACATTCACCAAAATACAAAATGATTGTGTGAGGTGAGGCCAGACGGCTGCCGGCAGACGCACATCACGAGCGAGAGAGAGAGTCATGATACTAAATGTCTGCAGAGGGTTTAAAGAAACCTGTTCACGGATCAGCGGATCAGCACCAGAGCTCACAAATATGAGCTCAATAATTTCAAAGGACGTCTGGGATCCCCAACACAATTCCTCCTTTCACCCAGAAGGTGTATGAGTAATTGATGCAGTGCTACAACGGGAAGTAATTATTGTTCTATTATTGTGGGCACGTCAGGACCGTTATCGTTGCCAACCAATATCTTGTTGAATAATAATCTCCTAGTCTCAAGATCCTTTGGAGTAGGGCCCCACACACTCACATAAACATACACATACAACACTTTACTGTGTGTCTTAAGTGAGATTTCCCACAGTGATAGGAGAGCATTTCCTTGAACAACACGCACACACAAAAGCTTTGCAGCAACAGTAACGAAAGGAGACGGAAACCTCAGACTAATATCTCTTGAGCTGAGCAAATACAACCAAGACTATCTGCATGGACACCATTAAAGGAAATAGAAAATATCTTTCTGACCTTTAACCCTGAGCCCAAAAACCAGGTGGAGGAGAAAGAGTCGCTCGCTCCATCTCTGATCTGAGCTCTTATCTCGGAGACAAATGGAGGCAGCCGAGCTTTGGCTTTTCTGTCAGGAAGGAAAACAGGTTTGAACCAGCTGAGTAAATATCAACACTGCCAGCTGAATATCAACACGGCCTCACTGTCGTAGAGTAGCTACCATCCAGGTCCCCGAGCTCCAACCACAAGCTACTCCTCTATTGTTTGTTTTTGTGAATGACATCATGTTAATCGCCCCCGCGTCAGCCTCTGTGACAGCTGTAATGGACCAATCAATACAAGTGAGCCGATAATGTGTATCCATCAAGATTTACCTTCCAATAAAAGTGACTGGATTGAGTCGTGGAATGTAAAGTAAAAGTATGCATTAGTGACTTTGTACCATTGACTATTATATGTATATTAATTAGTATATTAATGGTGTGTAATTTCAAAAACCGATTGTCCCAAAGCGTCAGTGGAAAGTTGTCATGAGAGGGAACCACAGCTGGCAGCTAGAACAGCTTTACAAACACAACCCGTGCACCAATGTGGAATCAATACAACATTTGCAGATGCAGAAGAATGTTCTGAATATAGACGTCAATATGTGTTTGTTCATCAACTTGCAGCAGTTGGAAAATGCGCAATCAATTCACGGACACACAACACGATCCTCGGGAAGCGCGTTATCAGTCCTCCACCCGATCACCTGCAGGTGTGTACAGTAACCTCCCCGCCGGAGGAGAATATAAAGTCGACCCTTCAATTGTGAAGCGTGACGTCTGTGCAGCTCCGAGGTGTCGGTGAAGCAGAGCGATAAGGAGAAACATTTCTGCACTGCATCCCTTAATCTGTGTGTGTGTGTGTGTTTTCTGATACCACACAGCATCAGCAGCCTCTGTGGTGATCACACCAGGCTGATGTACAATCAGAAATAATCTAAAACATTTTTTTTTCTTGTGCAGCCAAGTGTTATGTGTTTACATGAAGCCCAGGCGGCGCAAACAGTGTGTCTGATGAAGCAAACGAAGCCCTCAGTGGAGGAAAGTTGCATTCATGCATTTCATGCTGATGCGTTCAAGAGACATGTTGTGCAGTCAGCACATCCCTCTCTCTCTCTCTCTCTCTCTCTCTCTCTCTCTCTCTCTCTCTCTC